GAGGAATCTTTTTCTTGTAATTAAATTCTTTTGATTATCCGTTTTGAACCACTAAAAATAAAATTAAATAACAAGAAATATCATCCAAACATCAATAGCAAAGGAACGATAAGTCTGGATATTCTAATGGATCGATGGACTTTGCTCTTACCATTCAGAAAGTAATTCTTATCTATTTGATTATCCCAATCCTTTACGTAACTTTTAATTTTATGCCCGAAATTGCGTATGTAACCATGAAACTACTGCTCGAAAATGACGCGCAAATATGCTAGTGAATATGACTAAGTTATGACCATGATTATTTTCATTACCGCCGATCATTGTGAATTAAAATAATCTTTATTTTACAATAGTTTAATAATATTCTATTTATTTATCTTTTTATTTATCTTTTATTCTAATTTATATATATTGGGTCCCGTGACCTGATTTTAATAGATTAGCTCCCTCCAACAAAAAAGAGATTTTGATTCATATTATTATATGATTGCTGAACTTATTTGGTTAAATTTTATAGCCGGAGCATAATGTGTATATTAATTCGATATTTACGACGAACTCTCAGGGCATAATCTTATATTTTGATATTACATAATAAATGCTTATGAAAAATGATAAAATAAAATAAAGTTTATAAATATATAAAAATATAGCAGAAATAAGGTAATCTATTTAAGGGATTCTTCTAATTATCATTATTATAATCTTTATCGAGGTGCCAAATTTGAAAATTATTAAGTTATGACTATAAAATGAATCAAATGAATGGACATAATATAAGAAATGGTTACAAAAAAAAAAAAGATAAAATAATGAATGATCATTTTGCCGCTCAGCGAATAAAAATTGGTTTAACAGTCATATAGTTCCCAATAAGTTGCATCACCATGAAAGTGATAACATCTATCCCCATCATTAGTGAATGGGCCACGCCATTTATCGTGTTCAAGAGATAAAGTAACGCCGAAACCGAGCCAATATTTTTTTACACGATCAGGAATAATCAAAGAATAACCTTTGTGAGCCATTCTGGTTTCGTCGGCGAATGTTCCATCACCTCCGTTTACTACGGAAGCTTGAACACGTGTCCATGTACCAGCCGTTACCTTGTTATGTATCCACACGGTATGATTAGCTTATTTATTCCACCCAAAAAATATTTACAAAGTTATTATAGCAGATATTAATTAAATATTTAAATATTTTGTCATGATCATTCATGTTTACCTTCAATGAGCGTGAGCGCCATCGATGTTAATAGGCCAAAGATGATTGCAATTAATGTGGAAAATTTCATGGCGAATTTATATATTTTTTTTATTAGGAGTAGTAAGTATGTTTTGATGAAGTTTTGATTTGTTCCATGCTTTATATTTATATCTAAAAACTTTTCATAAAGCCAAGGGAAAAAAAAACTAAACATACTCGTAAAATTCGGAAAATCAAATTTCTTTTTGCGATATTCACATTTTTATTTTATTATGAAATGATTTTCATTATTTTAAATTTTTATTTTTTTCAAAAAAAAAATTTTAAATTATTAAAACATTTGTTTAATTCAAGGAATAAATTATTGAAAAAATTTTCGATTTTACCCCTTTTCCTGTCTGATACTATAGGTAAAATTATACAAGATTTTCATCACTCTGACCTAAAAGAATTCTTTTATATATTAAATTGGTTTCTTTTAAATAAACTCAAATGCTTTTTTCTGATTTTTGTAATTCTGTCAAAAATTTGGTTGCCACGTTTTTGAATTTGGCTACAGAATTATTTGTTTGTATTTATTATTTTTATTCATTCTAATCCATTTTTATTTATCTTATTGCGTGCAAAATTTTTTTTCAGCTTCATAATCTTCAAAATTCAATTCTTTATTGGTGTAGCAATTTAGCATTCCCCCCTTTTTTTAAAAAAAAAAATTAGCAAATCATTTTGAAATTCACTGATCAACATAAGTTTATTTTTAGTATAATATGCAGTTGTCGATCAATGTTTTCTCATACATAATAAATTTTGTCCTACCATGTCATGTTGGATATACTTTTTTAAAACAATATAAAGATAATGAATTTATACGAAAGGCTATTAATAATTTACAACAATTTTTCTATTCTGCCACTTGTATTTGTCAAAACAAAAAAGTGTTTTGGAAAAGTTGGATTTGAAGTTTTTTTTTAAAAGACATTTAGAATTTCAAAGTTTGGAAAAAATACAATTGGATTTTATTTTATTTTAATAGGCCAATTATTAATATTGTCAAAAGAATAGAAAATTTTTGATTATCACTTTAATTCTGAAATTTCTTTTATGTAAAGAAACTTTTCTTAAACTTGTTGGAAATAGTACTTTAAAAGTAATTAGAAATCATTTATTAACTGAAGGATTAATAGAAAAAATAACATAAAATATAAAAAATCTTTCTAAAATAGTATTATAAATTACAATTAATCAAGAAGCTGCCCGAAATTGAAATTTCAGTTCACAACAATTATTTTAATAGAACGATAGATTACGATATTATACCTTTATTAACATTTACATCGTCCTGTTTGAATATATTTAATAAAGTAATTGGAAAATATTACACATTAAAAATTCAAGGTGATAAAAAAAAAAATAATTGTTGTCGAAAAGACTGAACATTCTGCACAAGCTGATGTTATAGATCCATCTTCTAAAGCTTACATTTGGCTAAAATTAGCTTTCTTTTATGTTTTTTAAGTGTTATACATCCCCATCCAAAACGTAACAGGTCTTGATTTTTATAATTTTTCAAAATTGTACATAATAAACTTATCTGAATTTTCTTAGCGAAAGTATTAGTAGGTGTGCGCTGTCAACTAATAAATGTATGGTATCATATAAAATTTTACTAGTGAAGGGTTTACTTTGATTTATAGTATGATAATTAGTATAATAAATATCTGTGAATTCTGGCAATTTTTTTTCGAATTTATGTTATGTTGATTTTTATTTTTGTAAATTAGCAAATATAGATATAGTTTTTTTTTTTTTTTTACATATTCAATAAATTATTGAAAAAAATTTGACGCAATCTCTATTCCAAATTGTGGTGATTGAATATCTTGCAATGGAATATTTTTTCTGTTCTTACCTTTGAGCCCTCATCATTTTAAGAACTTCCGTCAAATTCACTTTTTCCATTTCACTTGAAGCTATTCGAAACTTTGATTGTTTAAGAGAAAATGACATGTTTGCATGAGTTTTCAAATTTAATTCGTTGAAAAGTCCTTCGACTTAATAATAAAATAGATATGTTTTAACGAAATTAGAAAGAAATGGGAAATTTGTATAGGATTATCAGCCTTGTAGAAGAAGTTCTTCAAATTCTTGTAATCCGAAAGTATTATTATTTCTACAATTAATGTCATCTTTCAAACCTTTTGCAATTTTATTTCCATTCTGTAGGTAAATCACTCCAAGTCTTTTTAAGAATTACAAAACGGAAACCGTTTGCAAATAAATGTCATTTACCCATTGAAATATCCGAAATCTTTAAAATTTAATATCTTGCGCTTAAATAATGCAAGTAACTTTAATGAATGTGATAACTTTAAGAAATATAAAATATACCTCGTTTTCTTGAAATCCTATATTAATTTTTTCCAGTTGAAGGCTTATTTTATTATTTTTCGAAGTATTAATGGATTTTTTTTTTTTTAAAAAAAAGCAAGTTATTTTATGAAAGAGACAGTTATACTTTCGCAGAAATTTGACAAGGATCTAGAGTTATTAAAAGTAAAATTACGCTGATTTTATTAAGAAATTTATTATGAACAAATAATTTTGTAGTATGAGCTTAATATGAAATCATCTTCAATAGTAAAATTTTTTATGATAACATCCATACATTGGTTTGATTTAACTAGTTTACAGCGCACTCAAATATAGCATATGATGAGATTACGTTCACAGAAGACCGTATGCATTTTATATCAATTTGATGAAAGTATGCCTAAATGAATTATAGTGCATGTATTGAAACCAGTGATGGCCTACAAAGTATTAAATATAAAATAAAATATTAAAGAATTTTTTTTTTGAACGGAAACTTTTGTAGTAGACTGTACAATATATATATAATATTCGCTCGGGTATTTTTATTAATCAATGTACATATTTCAAAAAATTCTAAATAAATACAAATCTTCATTTATATGAATAATAAAACTTTTATGTTTTACTACAAAAAAATGGTCTATCTTTCACTAACATTAATTTTAATGGAATTTTAATTTAGACATTTATGCGTCGGATTCATCTAACACATAAAATTTAGGACCGTGAGTAGTGATTTCTACGGTTAACTTTAACTTTATTACTATCCTTTTTTAATATTTTGTTTAAAGACAGTATATAGTTAAAATATCAAATTTGGTAAAAAAAATTTTTTTACAGTAATGCGTCATCTTAAAATCACAATTTCAACGTCATGCAAATAATAATGATAAATTTTGATAAAATTCTTTTTATTGGTCCACTTGACTGATCACAGTCATGTACTCAAAATTAGCTTAATGAAATTTCAGATTCCCCCTTTTTACTGACGAGCTCTCATTTCTACTCACATACTATACCTATTTCCATAACATTGTTTTCGAGTATCAAAAGTATTGGATCGTCCTAATTCAAGCAAGTTAAGCAGCAATAACTCTCTATCTAATAAACGTATAATGAAGTGATGATATATATCGCTATCATGTCGACACGCGTCGAATGGTAGTTATATCGTATCTCTTAGCAAATTAATGTCAATTTCATATAAGGACCCTTAATTCCATCACAAAATGTTTAATGAATTTAATAATTAATTTATATGTACAGTATTGGGATTTGGTTCATCAGAAATATCAGTTCAAACTTAAATTTTTTATTTGCTTGAGTAAAATGGTGAAGTTTGTTGAATACCAACTGACTTCAAACTTGAACCATGGAAACCTTTGTCGAGATGGAAATCCAACAACATTTCATTAAAATAAAACATTCAAAGTAGCTTCTGTAATTTCAGGACGCTTCCTTTGAATATTTCGATAATCAGCAATAATATCAAAAAGTTTGGTCCGGTTATAAATTCTCACATTATTATGGGCATCAATATATCGTTAAACCAATTTAAGGAATTAAATTTCTTAATGTGATATGATTCATGTCGTGTTCGTGTTAATTCAAATTTGCAATCATGCATCTTTGAAATATAATTGACTATGAGAATCACGATGTATCAAGTTTAATAAAGAAATTCCTATTCAAATAAATAGTAGCTAAAAAGATAATTAAAAAAAAATGTTCATTTTTACGTACCACTCTGTTTTCGCGCGTGATATTTATCAAAATCATTATTTTCCGAAGCATGAGGACAATCAATTTCTACGTTCTGTCCTGCATATTGATCAACCAATAAAATTCTGCGTAGCTGGTCATGTGTGGTTCACATTAATTTTTATAAGTCCTGTTATAACGGTTACCGTTCCCTAATATTAAAATAATTATGCAAAGTTCCACCTGTATTTTCATTGCAAGCAAACAATAATTCCTGTCTCAGGATCTTGTTTGAGATTGTAGCAAAAATATTATAAATATTAGATTATTTTATTGATAATTGTGGAGAACATAATATTAAATAGGTTTTACCTCATAATTACAATTATATTTGAATCTTCCTTTGACTATAACTATTATACTGCTGTAGCATCTGATGCTCTAAAATCTTGAAGTGGCAAACTCATGAAGTATATTTGATATCCAACCTTTGCACTTTTTGCATGGAGTTTCTCTGTCATTTCATAAAAATAATATTTGTAGTCTCCACATAAACTATATAATACACTGCTTCAACTGCTTTTAGACAATTACTTTATTTTGTAGATACAAAAAATTGTTCAAGTTGGCAACGTAAGAATGTAAATTTAGTTTGTAATAATATTTTGTTTAAATCGCATTTATTAAAAGATATTGGATTAGGTTTTAACAATCAATAATTTTGACAATTTGGGAAAAAAATTTTTTTTAATTTTATATAGGATATAACGTGTCGCACAAAACAAAAAATTCCGGATTTGGTAAATTGTGCCCATGAAAATAAGCATTTACCAATATTGTGATCTCTAAATACATAAAATGAAATTTATCACTCAAAATCCAAACTTTTTTTTTGTGCTCACTCTAAACGTTTTTATAAATGGTTTCAATTATATTTGAACATAAATACCTTCTTCTTTAAAGTACAAGAAGTAACTCAAGTTATATAGTTCTTATAATAAAAAAATATATAAAATTATATGTTTTTATTAACGTTAAGGTAGCCAATTATATCGGAATAAATCAGGAGAGAATAATTGAATATCAAAGCTTTTGTGGTTTTCCATCCGTCGACGTCGAACCTTTTTGCGGTTTTGAATTTTTCTTAAAAAAAAAAAATTGGCAAAGCGTCAAACTAATATTGGTTTCGACGTTTGTGGAAACCTCAGTTTGCAAGGCAAAGTATGCCAAGAAAATAGAAATTCATTTTCACAATCCAGACTCAAAAAGAAACATTCCGGGGGGCTGAATATTTTTTTTTTTAAAAAAAAAAGGTAGAAACCCTTTCTTGCTGTAAGCGAGTCTCTGTTTTTAACCAAAGTTCTATTTTCTATGAAATTCAGGAATACATACAGTAAAAAATTTAGTGGACAAAAGGAATAAACTTGACCGTAAATCACGATATTAATTTCCAAACCAAATTAAAAAAAAGGATAAATTTTTACGATCCTATTGACAAAGCCCCATATTATAAATATAGCGATTGGCCGGGTTTTTAAACCGTAGCAAATTTTTGCTTATTAATACAGTTGCCAATAATTGCTTAGTATTTCTTATCGTAATATCGTTATCAATGAAAATCATATAAGACTCAAAAATCGTAACTGAAAATTATCAAAATAAACTGCTTAAATTAGTATAAAAAAAAATTGAGCATAGGAATAGAAATAAGTAATATGAACAGATAAATCAAAATTCTCACTTTTCAATCAAATAGTTGAGCAAGAGTATGAAAAAGTCCTTATAAAGCATATAATAATTCAAAATCGTAAACTCAAACTCTCTCCTCCATGTATTTGTCTGCACACAAGGCAACTAAAAAACTTGGAATCTCGTCAGATACCTCACGTCGTTGGCTAAAGCAAGGAAGAATTATTGCTAAAACGACTCCTTCTGGTACTCGCCTTTACGACAAATCTTCCATTTTTCCAGAGTTGACTTCCCAAGATGTCGATTACACCACCGCCGCCGCCGCCGCCACCACCACCAAATAAGGGTTCCTCTATGCACGGGTCTCTAGTGTCAAGCAAAAAGAGGATCTTGATCGGCAGAAACAACTCCTCAGATCCTGATACCCAACCTACGAACTCAATATGAGTTGAAAATCTCAAGAAAGCCGTCATTGGTTCGTGATATAATTTTTTTTTTATCATCATACAAAGTTGTGTTTATCAAATATTGATTTATATCATTTAATTTAGCTCGACATAGAGAAATAGAACATTGATGATGCAAATCAACGAATTTATTTCCAATCCAATTACGAGAATTCAGGAAATAATCAAGCTGTAACATTACAGTTAAAAAAATGATTTGGAGAATGCAAGAGCGAAACGAGAAATTATACGAAATATTTTACAAGGATTAATCCTTAAAAGTGGTGTGGATTGGGTGAATGACGAACATTTATTGAATTTGATACTTATTATGAAGAGGAAATCTAAATTGAAACGTGAAAATGTTACCTATTCATTTTAGAAAAACACGTAATGCCTTCTTTTAGTAAAAATCACGCAAAATTTCCTACAAAAATTTCAATTTTTCACTAATTTTTTTTTTTTGTTTCAATTCTAAATTATGAAAGTCTTTTCCAGTTTAGTAACTACGCGATAAGATCCAGCATAAGAAACTCATTTTCAATACGAACTTTCAAAAAAGGTTTAAGTTTAAACGCTGTAGTAAAGGATATGCCAAGCATGAATATTGTTTTCAAGCACTGCTTACATATTACGCGTTTAATCAAAATAAAAATTTCAACTATTGACAGAAAGATTTAATGAAGCTGGAGTAGAAATGTTACCGGGATGGCTTCATGAAAAGACTTTCTCAGATAATTCTTCAAATGTTCCAGTACAAGCTGAAGTAGTTGAAATTGCGTTGAAACATTTGAACATCAAGGTCTAAAAGGAAAGGAAACAGAAAATTTCCCTAATGTTCCTGAATTCGATATACATACATATGCGGCAATTCTATAGCTGAATATTTTTGGAATATTGGAGAACGCAAAGCAAAAAATATAGAGGACTAGCAATGAAATTCGCCGAATCAAATCTCTTAAATATGCCATCAAACCTGGGTGGACTCGCTTTGAAAGTAATTATCAGTAGAATTTCCACGTGAAAATGTGTTGTGTTTTGATGTTTAAACGTTATTAAGTAATAGCAATTATGGTCTTATTGCATGTGCTGCTTGGTATATCACATTTAATTGAATTTAAAGAAAAGAGATTAGGAGAATTTTCCAAGAAAAATGGTGAGTGTAATAAAAATAAGAAGAAACCCTAAAGTGAATTTTATGGAATGATGAGACAAGATCGAAAAAGACAAAGCTACTAAGAAATTTTGAAATAAATGACATTTCAGATCAGAATAATCAAAATTCGGCAAATGATGAAAGTATTATTGGGAAAAAAATAAAAAAAACCTACTGTTAGGAAAAAGAAAGGGAATAAGGGTCTTGAGAGTATAGAAAATGAGAATGAAGTAGATAAAAACCTAATTAGAGATACTAAATTGGTAGTTTAATACCAATGGGAAAAGATAAGATAATAATCGGTCATAATGTTTCATTTGATCGTGCAAGGATCCAAGAGGAATACCATTATAAAGCATCTGGTAATATATTTATAGATTTGATGGCATTGCATATTGCTGTTAAAGGATTATGCGAACAACAGCGTCCCACTTGGGTTAGATATAAAAAGGCCGAAGAGAATGGTGACGTTGGTATGTAATGAAAAAGATTTTCAGTCAATATATGAAATTAGTTCATTGAACTATTTTCACGATGTTTACAATCTACATTGTAAAAAGAAAATAGAAAAGTCAATTATTAAAGAATTGTTTATTAATGGGACCTTGAAAGAAATCGTTATCGAAGAAAATTTTCGACGATCATTAATCAATTTTGCCAATAATGTTTTAGCAACATTCGAAGTGTTCAAAAAAATCTTTGTTTTCCCTTGGTTTTCTCGTTGATCGTATATAATAATACCATTAACTCCAAAAAAGGTTAGTGTATAATGAAAAGTACAGTAAAATGATATACTATGGTCAACAAAAACGACATATATAATACTTTTTTTTTTTGAAAAAAAAAATTTAAATTTTTATAATGAGCTCGACTTTTTATAGTTATGTGAAGCTCACCTACATAATAAAATTTATTTTCAGTTTTTCCCCTTCAAGGTATTAACAAATCACCGTTGTTTACCTTATGTGCCATTTCAAGTTTTGGCACCTTTTACAAAACTCTGTTTTATTCTTTTTTTTTTATTATTATTATGTATACTGGAAAGAATTAGTTCGGTAGTAAAAAAATTTTTTTTTAATTCCCCTTATGTGTTACGAATGGGATTGAAAAAATTCTTGAATAATACATATATATCTTTTTGTTTTTATAGTTAAATAAATTCAGGATTTTTTTATTCATCTGCTGAGCAACGAGAAAACTTGTAGAATCAGAGCGCAAATTTACGGATGAAAAAGTGAAAAAAATTGTTAAATTTAAAAAACAAGTATGTGGGGATACCAATAAAGGATTTGTTGTCATTAGTCAAAAGGGAATTGATCCCTTATCATTAGATCTTCTCTGTAAAAATGGAATTCTTGCATTGAGACGTGTCAAGAGAAGAAATATGGAAAGGTGATTTATTGTATCATGTATTTCTTTTATTTATTTATTTTATTTTTTTTTTGACGTAAAATTATTTTTTTTAGATTAAAACTTATTTGTGGAGGAGTCGCACAAAATTCTGTGGATGATTTGTCTCCAGAAGTTCTCGGATACGCTGGACTTATTTATGTATTCTTAGAGAAGAAAAATATACCTTTGTTGAAGAGGTTAAAAATTCAAAATCTGTTACGATATTGGTTAAAGGACCTAATTCTCACACAATTGCGCAAATTAATGATGCCATTGAAGATAAATGTATAGTACCAGGAACAGGAGCATTTCAAGTTGGGCTGTCAGCTCACTTGAATAAATTTAAAAGTTCAGTCAAGGGGAGGGCAAGATGGGAGTTCAAGCATTTGCAACGCAATGTTGATAATTCCTAAAGTTTTATCACAAAATGGAGGATTCAATGCTCAGGATACTATTGTTGCTTTACAGGTGAGTTTAATCATCATTATTCAAAGAATATTTTAATTTAGAATTTTATACACGTGAAATGACCAAAACATATTATTGTATTGAACTATTATGTAAATGAATATTTGATCAATGAGTCTTTTTTTTAATAGGAGGAATTTTCAGCAGAATATATTATAGGAATACGGGAAACATACATGACCCTATTGTGGAAGGGTATTTGGGATAATTATCATATCGTTCGTCATATGTTACATTACTGGTAAGATTGTTAATGGTATTGCATTCCATTCGCAAATAAACTTTCAAAATGCTTAACCTTTTGCAAAATATTTAAGTTTTTTTTTCCATTTAATATTCATTACTGTCACTAGACTTCTTCTACCCTTGGTGTTTTCTTGGGTACACTTTGTCGCTGACACCACAACAGTAAAATAACAGCATTTCGTTCACTAGGTGGTGTGCAACTTTATGATGTCTCAAATTCCACCACCATAACCACGACCTCTACCGCTACCAAAAAAGGATTCCTCTATTCTCGGGTCTCTAGTGTCAAGCAAAAAGAGGACCTTGAGTGGCAGAAGTAACTCCTCAGCTCCTGGTTCCTAACCTATGAACTCAGCTCAGGTGTTAACTTCAAATGACTGGGACTTAAGACCTTATTGGAATGGACAAGTCGCGGAATAATCTCAGAAATTGTGGTTACCCATTATGACTAATTCTGCCACTTAGTCTTTGACTTCATCCAGTACATACTCTCCCTTCATACTACAAAACTCATGGTTCTCTTTGACGATGCGACCTCCGATGAACACAAACTTTCCCAAGGTATCCTTGCAAACACAGTCTTTATCTGTTAAATGCAAGGAAGAAGAGCCGCTATTCACCGACGAGAACGTCAGGTTAGGAAAAAAGCACAAAACAAAGATCAGGATAATATCAGCGCGCAACAAGCGATAACACTTGAAAACTACTCTCAATCGTACATTGCTAATCAAAGTATATCCAAATCACTCTCAAAAGCAGCTACTGAAAAGTTAGATGTGCTTGATGAGATATGCTTATAATGCAGTTGTTCACTGGAATCGATACTGCTGTTTATATACTAAGAATTCACATATTGGTCCATCACAACGAGTTTGGGTAAAATCTCAACCCATTGAAGATAAACTTAAACTTTATGCAGATGTTCGTGTAGGAAAGACGTTAATGAATATAAGGACAAGAAACTTCAAAAATCATGTGTATGGGGTGAACGCAAATTCGTACGAACTATTATGCGTATTGGAATGCTACTTCAAGTACACATGGAAAGCACCTGCAAATATTATTGATGAGGCAATTGACGAAGCATTGACTGCTAGGTATGATTATTATTTTTTGATTTTTTTTTGTTTAAAATTTTTATTTATTTTTTGATTTTTTTTTGATTTTTTAATTAATTTAGGGATAAGATAATTAACCATAATATAGGATCAAACACGAAACAACGAGATTCATCATTATCATTTCAATCTTAAAAAGATTTATGACAAACAATAACAATTCGTTCACATAATTTTTTAAAATCCATGTGGAACCGTTTTTATGTCATCTCTCTTCACAATCCATCAATGCTTTCCACACATCGTCATAAGCCTGTTGTCACTCTGAATCATAATAAATGTGATTTGTGGTCTCTTCATTTTGAAAAAAAAGACAATAATAAGTGGCCTGTTCCTCACAAGATAACATCTGATTGTAAAATCACATATATTCGTAAAACTAATGAATGGAAATGTTCATGGGTTTATGAGATGCAAAAACAGCTCCGTGAAACCCAAGCGGATGGTTCCGTTCATGCATTCTCCACTGATCCTGGTGTTCGTACACCCTTCACATGGTACTCTCCTACTAAAGGTGTAGGCAAAATTGGACAATATGACATTAGACGAATTATTCGTTTATGCAAATATATGGATAATCTTCATTCTATAAGGGACAAGCTGGCTTCCTCTAATTCAAAACGTAAAAATAAAAAGGCCTTGCGACTTGATAATGCAATTTCTCAGATGATACGAAAAATCAAACATCAGCAAAGTGAAATCCATAAAAAGAATGTTACATTTTTTACTCGCGAATTTTATGCCATTATAATTCCTCCTTTTGAGGTATCAAATATGATAAATCGAAAACAAGAAATATGACACGAAAAACTGTTCGTAAAATGCTCTTTTGGGCTCACTTTCAATTTCGCCAACGTCTGGTAGCTAAAGCTGAAGAATTAGGGGTCCGTGTTATTATCCAAAATGAGGCTATACTTCAAAAACTTGCAGCTGGTGTGGGAGTGTTCAAAAATAGGAGTATATGAGATGTACAAGTGCCGAAGTTGTGGAGCTGTAATGGATCGAGATGAAAATGGTGCTTGGGGAATTTTTCTCCGGGCTTTGCTTGATGGAGCCTTGATTCTCTCCGGAGATCATGCAGGAAATAATAGTAATACTTAGTATTACCTATTATTGATGTATTATTATATACTTTCGAATTAAATTCATCAAGAGTGACTATGGTAATATAATAAAGATTACAATTACAATTACAATTAATTGATTTATGTGTCACACAATTAATACATTTTGTGTCGAATACCGTAATTAATCCAAATATCTAAATAAGAATAATTTAATATGCTTGGGCATTTCGGTTTAGAAATTATTGCGTAATGAAAAAAAAAAATTATTTGACATGGCTAAATAAAGTAATTTATTTTGATAAAATAGGTTCCCATAAAAGTCCCGACAACGATAATCCCGACGTCCAATATCTCGACTGCATAGATTCCGACACATAAATCCCGACGGGCATAAATCTTGACGAACACATTATCCGTCATTCAAGGGTCCCGACAAAATCCTGACGGTCAAGATTGATGGTCAAGAAACCAGATGGTTTAATTAGGATTATTGTAGAATTAGGTTAGTGTATTAGACCGTTCTAGTAATGTTTATGAACTGTCGGTTGTCGGGACAAACGTTGCTGTTTTAAAAAATTTTCTTCTTATATAAATAAGCAAAAGATTGTTATATTTCCCAAGTTTGTTATAAAATCATTATCAACTCAATTCAAAATGACTTTATAAGTTAGTAATTTTTTCGTTTACTTTTTTTTTCTTTTTCAAAATAAATCAATTATAATTGCTTATAAAGAAATCGTAGAGGATTTTGGATTTGTTAATCTATCAATAGTCATAGATTAGTGTTCCGACTCGTATAAAACTAGAACCGACCCGACAGCATATAATTTTAAGTGCAAAATGAACCGGGTCGTGTCGTTATGACTTATTATCCGGATCGATTACCCAATTCCGACACTTTTATTGATATTATTTTATAAAATAATAATAATATATCAATAATAATAAATAATAATAAATTATATAAATAATAATAAAATCGTAAGCATTTTGAGCTCATCAATGCTAATAAATAGTAAAAGTCTGCAATGACATCATTTTAATGATTGTAATTAATGCCAATGTATCTTTATAATCTATAAAAAAAAAACTCATTATTTTGTAAATTAAACTTATTGGAATTTTTTTTTTTTTTTTTAAAAAAAAAAAAAAGAGAATTATTGAATATATTTTTATTATATTTTTTTTTAAAAAAAAAGAAAGGAAGGATATAATGAATAGTTTCTTTTTTAGACTACAAGACATTCTTCAGATAGAAAAAAAGAATTTATCTATCTAATACTAGTTTCCGAAAAATGTAATAACTTGAAAAGAAATCAAACGAAACTAATTTACGTAACAAAACTTTCTCAAAAAAAAATAAAAAGTAAAAACCAAGAATTTGCCAAGCAAAATAAAAAAAGATTTAAAAATAAAACATGAATAAGAAGAACTAAATTTATTAATAACTATATGTAGGTAAAAAAAAAAAAAAAATTGAATTGTTCCTTAGGAATTGTAACTTCAAACATAAATGCATCTTTTTTTCTATACTTTGAACAATCTGCGAAATAAACATGTTCGATTGTTTATATTGTGAACCTTTAACAACCATTTCCTCAGTATTGGCGGTTACAAAAACATATTACCAAGTTAGATGTAATATCCGAATTAACGGGTTTGATCGGGTTCGGGTACATGCAAGTCACGGATCACCAATTTATCATCAAGTTTCAATACATAGGTCATTTTGTTCAACAAAAAAAGCACAATTCATTCGAAAATTTTAATTATTAAAAAAATTACATATTTTTGGGGGAAAATCTAAATTCCTGTGGTATTTCAAGTGATGATCCAACTATTAAAATGTTAAATAAGATGATCACTCGCGCGTATGATCAGAATTGGTTGGTAATTTCTTCAATTTGTTCAACAATCGTTTCATATTATCTCATAAAGGGGTCGTTCAAATTTAACATTTCCAAAGACCTACACGGTACTCATCGCATTTCATATCATCAAAGATGGTTGATTAGAAAAATAAAAAGGTATAAAATATAAAATAAATATGATCGCGTTGATAATTTGTGGCTTACTACAATTGCATATGCTTATTTTGGAATTTTGGGTCGGGCTTAGTATCACACTACATACAGTAATCACGTTTTCAGATAATGCACTTAATGTGTCGCACAAAAAGTTTTTTTTGCGTTAGGACTATAAAGTCCGTAATGAAGTACGAAATCATCATCATTCTAAAAATTCTTTGAGTGGATAAAAAATGTTACAACCGTAAAACGTTAAATCTAAAAGGGGAAACAAGGTTGATGTAATCCTATAATTATTAATATAAAAATTTTGTTAAATAGAACAATATTAAAAGAGGCAGTTCTATTTTAAGAGAGAGTTCTATCCATTTTAATGCGTGAAGCGTTGATCATTTTGATGATCATAGATCTTGTGAATGACTTTCAATCATCAAATGATTTTTTTTTTAGATAAAATTAAAAAAAAAAAAATCTATTATTAGTAAACATTTTTGTGTAACTACCACAACAAAAAAAAAATATTATTTACTTGACACGTTGAAAAAGCAGCCAATAGAATTAATAAAACGTCATAAGATCCCATTCTCAGTGACAATCAATTCAAAGTAATGGGTGATTTAATATGGAAAGTGGCTTATACAAGATAAACAAAAGCTTGATTATTGCGATAATTATCTCTTCGACAGTAAATTAACAGGTTATTTTGTTTACCTAATCGTTGTTGACCATAATGAACTCGTTTGTGGATTTGCTCGGCTTTAAGGAGGTGGGGAGGAATATGATTCCGTGTCAACTTTTTAAATGAAAACAAATTCAATTAACAACAAAGTTGCAGAGATTTCTTTATACGTTTATGCGCGACTATTTCATCGTGTTCTCCTCGGCGATAATCATTGTTGGATGCATAACATATTTTCAATTTAATGTACAAATGTAGGACACTTACTGACGAAAAGGATTTTTTTGAAACACATTAATAATTAATTAAGTTTGTTTTTTTTTAAAAAAAAATAAATTCATGAATATAGTCCTAACTAAAAATATTAAAGTTGCACACTTTATTGCAGTATCAATATCAAACAATTATTTAACAATTTACACGAAAATAAATCATCATCGGCCTTCTTTTCGGCAATAATTATTATCGGAAATACATACCAAACTTTTTTCTACCTAACTTAACTAATGCAGGACACAAAAAAATATTATCTGAAACATTCGGTAGCGTTAACTAAATCTAGAAAATAAAGAATAAAAATGTACGCGAAAGAATAAAAGGATGCGATTGGAAAGTCAAATATTTTTTTTAAAAAAAAAAGAACAAAAAAAAAAAAAATTAAAAAAAATAAAAACAAAAAAACAAAAGAAATAACTTCAATTAAAAAAATCATGTCTTCACCTCTTGACAATAATCGAAATCGAAATTTAACGAGAAGAAGAACGAGAAGACGAACGAGGCAAATTATAAATTCCAACGGACCACTTCAAACATCACAAATTCGTCGTCGTCGTGTACTAACCAATTGGATCGCTAATCTTCCGCGACAATCAAGTAATGATGCTCGTGTGGATGAATTTTTCAATGGGTTCTCATTTCCATGAGTGGTTCATTCGTAAACTTGTAATTTTATCAATTCGCTATCACAAATTCAACTTCGATATTTTATTAAAAAAAAAAAAAAAAAAAAGAAATAACTTTACGCTTTGAAAACCTTCAATAAATCCAACAAATTACTATACGCATTTAAATTATAAATTTTATAACACTATTTTTATAAAAATCCGTATAAAGTCAGATGCATTTGCTTAACCCAATCAAGATTTATCTTTTATCATTATGTATCACTATAGATTTGTATTTTAAAATTAGTATCCATTTACAAAAAAATGTAGTCACCTTTGTCAATTCTCTTGAAAAGTTGATTGTCAAAACAAAGAATTTATTACTCTTTAAAATTTTTTAAAAGGACATTAAACATTGAATAAAATGATTCAAAATCAAAATTGACCTATAGATTACAAATAATAAAATTTTTGATTGCTTTCGATTCAACAAAATGATATGTTGACGATCACGGTCTATACAGAAAAGAACGAAATTCAACAAGGAACTATTCGAACAAACCTTTTGATAATCGTGAGATCTTGAAAAGAATCAATGCACTTCCTCCACAAATAACAGGTAATAATAGATTTGCAGAATACTTGTTGGCGGAATTAACTATTATTAATCGAACGCATGGTATGATTTGTTTGTTTATATATTTGTTTAAAAAAAAAAAATAATAATAATAATTAGATTCGCATTTTTAAGGTGTCCTAATTAATGCATGCAGATTATTCATTAACAAACAAACAATGATAAGCATGACTAATTCCGTATTCAAATTCAGATCGACAGTCCCATTTATGTATAATAAAAAAATCGAAATCTCATATTTTTTTATTCGTGTAATGTACGTAAGAACCGAAGTTAGCGCCATAAAGATCAGGAAACTCTGTATGATCCAAATTTAATAAATATTATTAATCTAGTAGTGATAATGACTTAAACGATACACATCGCCGACGTGTGCACTCTATTGTACAATCAGGGCGTGCTTTGTAACTGTGACACTAGTTCAAATACAATGTAACGCAGAATCTTGATCGCGTTGTTTTCATTTTAAATAACAAAGATTTACAATAAAACCATTGGTATCACAAATAATTTGTCTTTGATATAAAGAAAATTCGAAATTCGTTAAATCGAAGTTGGAAGGAAACACATTTTCAAAGATAGGCCCGGGATATTTTAAATATATAAAATGCAAGTAATGAACATCAGGCGTCTTTTTTTTTTTTTTTTTTTTTTTGTAATTTAATTTTAGAAATGAAATAAATGAATGTTTGAAACTTATTATTAATAAACAAAAGAAATTTACCCGTATGGTCCTTAGACAAATTATTTAATTAAATCAGTCTCGGCGGAATAATCGTATTTGAAAAACAATAGAAATCCGATTAATTAAATTATTTAAACAACGTTCGTCCCCACCCAATAACAGATTGTGTATATTTTAAATGCAGTATCATTTTATGACATTAAAGATAAATTTTTTCTTTTCTTTCTTCTCTTTTAAAATTTTGGCAAAGAAATCTTTATTAATATTAACGGAAAGTAAATAACTTTGGTGTCAATATTTTCGATTTATATAATTAAATTAATATGATCTTTATATCCAAAATTGGATACAATGATTCGTAACGTGGAAAATATATACTGTAAATATGTAAATATTTATAGAATTTTTCTAAGAGTTTAAAGACGTGATAATCGGTATGAAACCGATTGGCGAGCTATAAATAGATAATGAAATCATTTATTTTAAAACCTCCAAGAAAATGAGAAATATTCTCGAAAAGTTCTCTTTAATTATTTTTGCGCTAGAAATTTTTCAATGGTGTTTCACAAAGGTTTTGATTTACAAAGTAACTAACACAAATTAAGTAGTAAATCTCCTATATTTACAAATTTATTAATAAATTAGTTAATATTTATGATGTGTCCATGCATATGTAATAGGCTGAAAATTTCGTTAATTATTTGTTATTTACCCGACCTAACAAAGAATTTTGAAGATATCTCTTCCGAATGTGGTCGTAAAGGACACAAAATTGTTACTTTCGAGACTCCGATGTCAAATTTATAAAAGATCACATCACATATTTTGTAATTGATTAGATCAATTTATATATATAAATAATTATTTGTTGATATTTTTATATAATTTATATATACAAAATACTTTAAAAAACATACATATAAGGAGAGGTCATTACAAAAAAATTCACCAAAAAAAAAAAAAAAATAAAAAAGATTTATTTAAAAGAATCATAACAATAATGTCTAATACGCAGAATTATAGACATCTACCCCTAATTAATAATCAAAGTTCTTCGAGAGCAAGAAGGAATCGACGAAATTTACGTCTGTATGGCAGGAGTCCTCGACGTCTTAATTTTCGAATCAACAACTCTACAAATTTGAATCTCATCGTTAATCTTCCACCTCAATCGAGTGTTATCACCAATGTCGACGAATTTTATAATGGATTTTCATTTCCTTAAAAGCACCGACAATTTTTTTTTATTTTTTATTATTTTTAATGAACTATATAGACGTATTTCAGGATAAGTTTCCAATTGTACATTATTGTAAAATTTTAATTTAAAAATATAAAAAATATTTATTAATTTTCAAAGTTGGTAATTTGTGATCACTTCAATTTTTCGTATTAGCTATTATTATTATTAATTATTAATTATTATTATTATTAGAAATAGATGTACATTTATTATTTAAGAAAAAGTTTTTTTTTTTTATTTTTTTTATTTACAATTTGTTCTCTTTCCCTTTTGCGAAGGGAAAAGTGATATTTTGGTATTAAAAAAATGTTCCTACAAAACATTGTTTAAATAAAAAGTATTTACTTTTAATCTGAAATATAACATATTTGTTTAGTTATTGGTTTTTGATATAAATAAAAATGCAACAACAGAGAGTATAATTTCTGCTTCCTATAACCTGAAATTAGCTACGCATGTCACTTAAACTCTGCAAAGATACTTAATTGATTAGCGACGAAAAGTTTCCGGCCGAATTCCAGTGTTGGTAAATTACATGAGGTATATCAAAATCCACTAAACCCTACCCTCTAAAAGTATCGATACCAAATCGATAAAAAGATAAATAGGCTAACGATTTTTTTTTTTAAAAAAAAATCAAAAATAACATAGAATAAAAGTTGCTTATGAAAAGCCATATATGGAATTTCAATGAAAATAATGAGGATCGGTCGGTCTATTTGTAAATAAAAAATGACGAATATTCAAAATTTTTAAATAATTTACTTATTCCTTTCAAAAAAAAAATAAAAAAAAAAAGTATTTCTTTTTTTAAATGAATGAATATTTTATTAACCGGATTTTTGTATTTGCTCCATTATAATGAGGTGATTTTTGTTTGATGGGTAGATCTATTTTCACATGCTTTTAATGAAAAGGATTTATAAAGTTAAAAAGAAGGTTCGATTTATTGGAACAACTTCATTGGTTCTGGTATACAACAAATACATCATTAATTGATTGATTAGAATTCAAACCTGAATTAATCAATCTTTTATTTATGATTGAAGAGAGATCGCTTGTTAGTATCTAAATTATTCCAGATTCAAAACAGAAAAACGAAACCTTTACAAATACACAAATAGGGAGAGTATTTCAACTTCCACAAATATGGTCATTGAAATTATTCATCATTAGGCGCAATCAGTCATAATCAGCGCGGCCCGTGACACAGGCTAATTAAAAAAACCACCGTTCGGATTTGAGGCTTTTTTGTATTTTTTTTTTTTTTTAAAAAAAAAAAAAAATCGAGGGTTCCATAATCAACATTAAGACTTATGACCGATCCAAACAAACGAAATTGGAATATTTTTAATGATAAGGAAGGAATCATTATGCGCAGACGTACATGTACGTAATACACATTAGCGATTTCAATTTAGAAATATGAATGAAAATTTTATTTATTATTATTTTTTATTATGATATTCTCGGAAAAAAGTTTTAAATAAAAAGGACAATAAGAAGCAGTATAATGATTAAGTAAAGATTTTGCGTTTGACGATCGTAAATTCTTTGAATTTCTTTCTTTTTCTTCCCCCCCCCCCCCACTCCTTTTATGGCTATGAATGAAAATGATTTATACAATGCCCGAGCCGAATAATATTATTAATATATATATGTCCGATATATCATTGGTTCTTATCGTATGCAAAAGGGTGCCAATATAACCTTTATTACCCAAATTTGGAGACAATGACTCTAAAAGCTAACTTTTTAAAGTTATTAAGATTTCATGTTTAGTCATGAATATCACTATAATCGAATTAGAGATCCTAATGGTATAAAATCTTCGACACGTTATAACTTTTTCTTTTTTGCGTAGAACTTTTTAATCGTGTTTCACTTAATGAAAATATTTAAAGATTATAGAACAGTTAAATTCTACTGATAATTCTTATTCAAATTACGATTTCTTATAATAAGTTTGTCGCTATGTTCGGATGAATGGTCTCATGACTTGATTTAAATAAAATATTTCAGGTATATAACAGGTCATAAAAACAAAATATTATAAAAAAAAAACTAAATCTAGCAAATAAGAATTCTGTGTGTTGAATAATTTCGAAACGTGTACAATAACTTTAAAGAACTCCCTGTCAAAAGCGGTGGGTTTACATCTAAAGCCAACCGTGAAGCCGTATTAGATTTATACTAACTAAGGGCGTTCTCAAACACTTAATGGATTGGAGTTTGATTTTGAAGATCCATTCCGATGAAACCATCTTTTTTTCTTTACGTTGATTGGCTAAAATTCATCATTAATATAGTGAGATCGTTCAAGAATTTTTCTTCATTTATGTAGGTTGAGTAGTTGCCTTTTATTCATTTTATTATTTTTAAACTTAAGAATGGAGAAAAGCTGCCCAAGTATTTGTGATCCTTATTTAAATTGATGAGCGTCATCTCAATTACTAGCCAATTCATATCTTAAATTTACTAAAATCTATCGTAATAAGATTTCGGTTTTTTTCGCGTATATCTAACATAAGTTTATATTTATGAATTCATCTTCATTTGCTTCTTTTCGCCAGTATTTGAAATTAATATAGTGTTAAAGCCATTGATTTTACGTTAATGATATGTTAATTTCTAATTTTGTTCTAATCCGCATTTAGTTATGTTATAATAATAATACCTTTATCTAATCTGTCGTATGACTTACTGAACTGCAATAACCTGAATGATTTCGTCCCTCACTTAAACACACATTATAGCTTTTTTTTTTTTTTAAAAAAACGAAATTCTTTAGTTAAAAATGCAGCATATATGTAATAAACAAGAACTTTGTAATAATTTCTAAGTTGAGGAATAAAAATGATGAATATTCTTTTCAAGGGTTTCCATATTAATACTTATTAACTTTATTTTCTGGTTTTTTTTTTATTCGTCAAGAAAAAATTTCCTTTATTGAGGTGATCATTTCCTTTGATCGGATAATCATGTAAAGATTTCTCATTATTTATATCTTTTTCACATGCCGACGGAAACTTTCCAAATGAATCTTATAAAGCTATTTTTCTTTCTTCTAGATCCTTCCTTTTAGACTCAAGTAACTATATATAAGAAAGTGAAAAGTCTTATGAATGATTATATATTGCATTATAAACAATTATCTTTTCGTTTAACCTTTTACTTTCCATTCTTGGCAAATGATGCCTTCAATTCGACGATTTAACAACGAGAGGCAACAATATGGTCACTCACCACACAACCGGAATCTAAAAATCAACAAACATATCGATAATAAAGAGACATTGAGAAGAATGCAGGAGCTTCCAACGCAAGATACAGGAAATAATGTATTTGCAAAATACTTGTTCGATGGTATTCCGTTCGACTATCATTAATCGAGAGTAAAGTATTTCTTTTTTTTTTTTTTTTTGAATAATCACTCATGATTTTATTTTTTTTAACTGCCCATCTGTTTATGTATGTTTCAATAGATATACAAATTTAGGTTAAGTCATCGACGCGACGCGACACAATGACGAAACTTCCTAGAGATCGACTCCTCATGGGAAAATCAATGTACCACACACGGACATGATGGTTAAATGATCTGAAGGGAAATCTCTCAGCTGTAAAGTTTGGATTATAATATTGTCGGACGTGAATTTTTTTTTTTTTGAATACCTTGAACATGTATCTCGCATTTAATCTTCTGTACATCAATTAAATAAAGAATTCTATTCTATTTTATTTATTTATTTTTTTGGTACTATACAGAGTTTCGTCTATGATATTGTGTACGCATCTTTGATATTCGCCTTTTTATTTTTTTTTATCGGTATTTCATGTAAACTTTAAAATTGGGATTCGTGTCATGATGATTAAAAGTTATGCATAGCGGCAATGCTTAAACGAGCGAATGATCGTCCAAACGCGTGCGCATTTTTGAACCCATATCTGATATATATCTCTATAGATTGTATCATTGAAAAAAAAAAAAACTTACAATTTATTCATCATAAATCAAATTTAGAACGGGATTATGCAAGCATGTAGAGATATACCAAATCAATCTTATCGTGTCTTATCGATAACATCAGCATCGACCACGGGAAAAAACAATGCTGCGCCATGGAGATTTTGTGCATCGTGAAGGAACCAATATATTTGAAATAAGGTTATGCATTAAATTAATTGTCCGCTTAAGGTTTACAACTTAAACCTTCAGGTTGAAACCTAATTGGTAAATATAAATTTACCATTACCTTATAGTTTACCGTTCATTCGTTAAAAATTCGGTTGCATTTAATTTGATTTGTTAAACAAACAAATATACCTCATTAAAATGTTTCAATACTTTATTTTTTTTTATTTTATTCCTCTTTTTTTTTTTCCTTTTCATACCACTCGCCTATTCCACCATATCATTTCATCACTTCAACTAACCCATACATTCATTTCACGATAAAATAAAAATCGTGCAAAAATTTAATTATCTTTGTAAAAGGTAAACAAAATAAATAAATAAATAATAATAATAATAATAATAATAATATCACATAAATTCCACAATTCTCGATAAAAATAAGATGAAATAAAATAAAAAATAAAAATAAAAATCACAAATCGACCTTTTTCTTTTAAACATCTTTTAAAGAGGCCAAAACCTTTTTTTTTTTAATTTCTTTTTTTTTTCAATTTTTTTTTTTTTTTTTTTCCTTTCCTTTTCTTGTTTATTTTTAATTTTTTCCTTTTTTAATTTAATTTAATTGTTTATTTTTTTTTTTTTATCTGATAAACGAATAAGATTGTACATTAATAATCAAGAACCAGTTATTGTTTTTGAAAAATCTCTTGGTTGCCTTGACAAAGGACGCGAGGGCAGGTACCCGGGAACACATCCTTAGGATAAAAAAAAAAAAAACAAATAATTTCAAGCATTTAATCGTCATTCGACAAACTGGATTCAGTTTTGAACAAAATTTTCATCCCATACTCCCAGCTCATCGTCACCTTATTAATAATCCATATTCCTTTCCTTCGTCACATTCTTTCATTTATTCTTAACATTTGTTCTAGTAACAAAAAAAATCACCCCGTCCGTGATAGTATGTCCAATATTAACTCCGATAATTCCGAATCCATCACCGTACAAGTTGGTAAGTTGAAAGAAAGTTAACCGTTATAGATAAAAAAAAAAGACTCGTTATTAAGGAAAAAAAAAAACTTTTCTTCTTTATCGGCACAGCTCTTCGTATAAGGCCCTTATCTGCTGAAGAATTAGTTAATATACCGACACGATTGCAAAAGAATGTTATTTCCGCCACCCCTTTCACTCCAAATCAAGTCGTCGTCCAAGGTGACAAGAAACGTTCCTACACCTTTGATCATGTATTTGGTCCGGAGACAACTCAAAAAGAAATTTATGACAAGGCGGTCATGAATTTGGTGGACAAATTCTTGGAAGGTACGTTGTTAATTTCTTTTCACTCTTGCAAAAATCGTTGGCGCAGTACACGAGCCTCACCATCTTCTCGTCTTGTGGCGCAGGAAATAACGTTACTTTGCTAGCGTATGGACACACATCATCCGGTAAAACTTACACGATAGGGTCAGCAGATAATTCCTCTTTAACTCAGGAAGCAAAAGGAATGATCCCTAGATCAATTACCACATTATTCTCTTGTATAAATTCAACCCAATATAAAACGCGTAAATTTTTCATGAAAGTTTCTTTCGCGGAAATACATAAAAATGAATTGATAGATTTACTTGATGAGGGATGTGATAAAAAATTGGATGAGCAAAATATCGAACAAAGTCCCGTTTTATCCGGATTACAAGAGATTAAGGTGAATTGTGCTGAGGAAGTCTTGGGGTAAATTGAATAAAATTTTTAAAACTTATTTTCATTATTATAATTATTATTATTTCATTTAATTGTAAAATAAAAAAAAAACTTTTTATTTTTCTCCAGTCTTTTGTCTTTAGGACAATTACATCGAAGAGCAAAACCGCAGGATTACCCTAGTGAGAATTCACATCTCATTGTAACAGTCACCCTATCACAACAAAAATTCATACCGACAAATTCTTCCGCTTCAAATTCTTCATCAAATACTCCACCATCGACTCCAAATAGGCTTCGTTTCGGTAAAAACAAATCTAGAGAAGACTTGAGGTCAACTAAACAATTCGAAGGTGATTGGGCTTCCGTGACGAGTAAATTTCATTTTGTGGATTTGGCTGGTAACGAAATGGTACGTCGGAATCGTAAAAGATTCTTTTGAATTGGAAATTGTGACCATCCTAACGTGAAACTTTTTTTTTAAATTAGGAAAAGGGCAGCTTCGATTTGGAAGATGTGTTAAAAGAACATTTTTCAACGAACGATACAACACCCAAAGTTGCGATCGGTAATATGATTTGCGCACTTGGAGATCCCGTACAAAACACAAAACTTTTACCTTACAAAAACAATAAGCTCACAAAATTATTTCGAAAATACCTTGGCAATAATTCTCAAGTGTTGATTCTAGCTTGTGTTTCACCTGCGGGATATAACATTAAAGAAACGATTAATTCGTTAGACTATGCAAAATTTGCTCGTAGTATAAAGTACACCCTCTCTAAAACCCCTTATCAAGAGGAGGAGGAAGAGGGTTGGAATGATTTGGAACATTTACAAAATTTGGTATTAAAATTAAGATCCGAAATTAGAGCTTTGAGAAATGCCACTATTTCAATTGAAAACGGTCTAGAATCGGGTTCAATTTCTTCATCATCATCCATTAATGATGCCGATATCTCAAGGCAATCAAGTTTGTCCCCATTAAATAATGGGAAAGAAATTGACAACCTTGAGAGTAAATTCGTCATACTTAAACGTTCTTTTAATGACCTTTCAAAAGAATTTACTAAATCTAAAGCTTTGGATTCTACAACGTCAACAATTAATGAGGAGACGATCGATCAAAACGTTTCATGTTCAGAGGAAGATACCGATAACAATACTCTGGTTGATAACGTATCTTCTTCTTCAGCTAGCGATTTAATGTATCAACAAATTTCAATGTTAAAACAGGAAGATGGGAAAACTTTTATTAAAAGTGTTTGGCCGAGTTTTCAGAAAGCTGTTGGTCCCGTTATTCAAGAGTATGAAAAATCTATCACTTCACTTGAGAATCAGCTATCTTTGGTTCGTGCCGCTTTATCCCATTCAGAAACGAGAATGCAAACTCAAGAACGTAAACTCGTTGAAGCCGAGGATCATAACGAGCAGAGTAAGCGCATGATAAACGATTTAAAATATCAAATTTCAAAAATTAGCGAACGGGAAGAAACCACCGAAAGTTACATTAAAGATCTTGAGGCAAAATTAAATTCGGATAGTTGTGATCAAGAGAAAGAGAAAAACAGCATCAATGCTCTAAAGAATCGCGTGGAAGAATTATTGAGAAATGAAGGAAATACCGAAAAAGTCATTAGAAAACTTGAAACCCGTTTAGAAGGAAGCGAAGCTAAAAATTCAAAGTTGAGTAAGCAAGCATTACAACTTGAGAAAGATTTACATGATAAAGAGGATGGATATCTCGCCCTCATTGAACAATTTGAAAAACAAAAGAACATTGATAAAGAGGAGAAGCAATGGTTATTAGGAGAACTTGAAGATCGTGATTCTAGAATTTCACAACTTGAGGAAAATGTTGAAGTTCTCGTCAAAGAAATTGAAAATATGAAACAATTAAAAATCGAGATCACCCAACCTCCGAGAAATTCTCATTCAAAATCGTCATCTGTTTCTTCCGCTTCAAATGTCGAAACTCCTTCCTATAATCAATCTGATTTAAAACCTTCGATAAAAATTAGTGAATTCCCATCAGTTTTCACCCTCGAGTCACAACTTGATAACCTTCAATTAACTCATGAAAGAACGGTGGAAGAATTAAGTGATATTCAAAGGAAATACAAAACATGCCTTGCCGAACTTAAGGAACTTCGGTCTCAATTAACGGACGCAAAATTAGAAAAATTCGCAAAGACGATGGCCAATTCTGCAAAGGAAGAACCTTCTAATAGTTCGGACTCCTTATCTACATTTACGCATCCAGTCAAAGCAAGGTCACTATCCGCTGATTTCAGAGGGGAAGAAAAGGCTAAAATTACAACGGCTTCTATCATTCAAAAACTCCAAATTGAATTGAAACAGCTAGAAGTCATGTATGCTGATAAAAATTCCGGTCTAGACACCGTAAAACAGGAATTTGCACGCCTCCAATTAAATTATCGCGAAAGCCTTGAAATCGTTGAAGAACTCCGTGAAGAAATTAAAAGAAGGGACGCTCTTGCTCAACTGGAAATCATGTCTGGGAAAATTTCTGAACTTCCTTATGATGGGGATTATTCAGAAACTACGAGTGAAATTTATCAGATTGAACTCGTGCAGAGGCTTAGAGAAGAAGTTGAACAACTTAAAGACGATCAACGTAAAACATTAGACATACTTGCCGAGCAAGAAAAAATTCCAAATCAGAACCTAGCAACGATAATTGAAAAAAATATCACTGAACTTAAAAATGAAATGAGTGAAATGATGCAAAAATATGATGAAAATCGTTTCTCAACCAAGGTTGTAAAGGATGATGAAGCTATTCGTGAATTACAACATAGGATAACGACACTTGAGGAACAACTCGTTAAAACTCGAGAAGTTTTGAAAGACTCGCAGATAATCACTGATTCTTCGAATGATGATTCCTCCGAGTCCAAAGAATCGTTACAAATTGATCAAAAAACGATAATCTCAAAACTTCGAAATCAAGTTGGTAAACTTCAAAAAGTGATTGTATCAAAAAGTCACACAATAGCTTCCATATTATATCCTTCAATAGAATATCAGAATTCGATGCAAAAACTTGAAGATGAACTTGAAGAAGCAAGACAGGAACTCGAACGTGCAATACGAACGAAAGATGACAACACTGTCACGAGAGCTCGAGAGAGCACTGACGCTACTTTGCTATACGTTGATAACCCCGATGAGGAAACTACGAGCGATTGTCTAGAACAGAATTCTGATGAACATTTAAAAGAATTGGAGGATAGAGTTAAGGATTTAGAAAACCGATTGACAAATACAAGAGATGTTCAACAAGACACATTCATGCAAGTACCTCTTTTGAACATTTCTTCTCCTACACAAAGATCAATCGATGAACTCCAAGAAAAGCTTGATATTCTACAGAGGGAATTAGTTGGTAAATCCGAAACTATTGAAAGTCTACAAGTCGAACGAGATATCGTAATATCCCTTAAAGAGCAGCTTGAAAATCTTAAAGGTGAGATAAGAAGCAAGCATGAGCTAATTGAATCCATGAAAAAAGACCTTACAAGTAATTTCATGTTGGAACAAAAATTAAGGCAAAAAGAGGCGCAAACTTTAAGTTTGAAAACAAACCTCTTGCAAGTCCAAAATCAGGAAAAATCTTTACAAGACGAAATAATGGAACTTAGATCGCGCCTTGCAAACATCGAAAATGGTGATGATGTAAATAAATCTCTTCAATCAGAATTAGTTAGTTTACGGAAAGAACTCAAAAATTCTCGTGAACGAGAAACCATTGCCACTGAAAGGCTTCGAGTATTAAAAGCAAGGTTGGAAAATGATTCCGAAGAGTCCCTATTGCAAGAACAATTAAATTATTTACAAAACGTCGAAATTATGCAGAAAAACAGGATCATTGCTTTGGAAGACCGAATTTCTAAAAAAGGAGTTCAAGTCGACGAATATTTAGTTCAACTGAAGACCGATTTAACTATTACCAAAGAGTCCAAGTCATCTCATATAAAAACGATTGAAGTGTTAGAGACAAAATTGAAGAACGTTGAAAATAAATCTGAATTACACGTTTTTGAGCGACAAATTCAAGAATTGAAATTAAATGAATCCAACCAACTTCAGAAAATTCATTCTCTCGAAAGTAAATTAAATGATCAAACTTCTAGCGATTTGAAGCAAATAAAACAATTGCTAGAAGAAATTAGAAATATCCTTGAACGAGAGCAAAAACAAGAACGTGAATTTGCCACAATCACTAATTCTTTAAAAGAATTTGAGGAGGACACGAGGATCAATTCTATGAGGGATGAGATTAACGAATTAATGGATTCAAAATCTGTTCTATATAATAAAGTTCAAGAGTTACAAACTAAACTTGCCATCTCAGAAGAACAACTTTTGAATTTTAGAAGTCTACAAGAAGAAATTGCTTATCTAAAGAATTTAGATAACGAACTAAAGAACACAATTCAAGAATTACATTTCCGATTCAATCAAATACGAGACTCCAAAGACTCGGCTGTCAAAGAATTAATGACCTTAACAGAAAGTTTCAATCTACAAAAGGAAATCGTGAAATTCCTTGAATCCGAGATGAAGACCTTGAAAGAGGAACTGATATCTACTCAAAAGAACCATATAACTTCAACGTATGAACTCGAAAAGGTATCCAGTTTACTAGATACAACCCAAAAACAATATGAGAATGAGAAGAAACGAGCAAAGGTTCTAGAAGTCGAGGTTGAAACTTTCAAACTCGTAGGAGATTCTGGCGATAAGAACATAAACTCTTTACGAGAAGCTTTAACAAATACAAAGCTTGAATTGGTCGCCAAAAATGATTTGCTGACTGAACTTGAATCTCAAATGATGGCCATTGAGAAGGAGAGGGATCAACATATCAAACTTTCAAGCGAATTTACCGCATCTCTTGATGAGAGCGAATCACAACATAGGGAAAGCATAAGCGTACTCAAATCTAGAAGAAAAATTTTAGAGGGTGAACTTGCCTCGGCTCAAGAATTGTCAAAATTAAGCGGAGAAATCATTGCAAGTCTTGAAGAAAAGCTTTTCGATGTGCAAACCCAACTTGAAAACGCAACGAATTCTGATGAAGAACAATCAAAGATCATTAAAGAAATCGAATCAAAATTAGGTGAAGCAAATGAAGTCATGACACAAAATGAGGATAAGTTGACAAAGCAAAACTTCCAAATTAGTGAATTAGAAACTGTGATCCAAAAAACTTATCTTGAATTGCAAACAGCCAAAGCATCTGAAATTGAGGTAAAGAAAAATGTAGAGGAATTAGAGTCAAAACTTGCAGAAGTCACTTTCAAATTGCAAAATAATAACTCGGCAGCTGAGATGGAATCCGTTAAAGAAACCACAGAAAAACAATTGATTCGTATCAGAGAACTTGAAGAATTATTGCGAGTACAGCAGGAACAATCAACGACCGAGAATAATATCGTCGATCTAACGGCAGAATTAGAAAAGGCTAGAGCAGATGAATCCGCAAGAATTGAATTTGTTAAAGAATTAGAAACCAAATTGGTAGAGAAGAATAATGATATAAATGAATTACAACAAGTTATAGAATTTTCTAACATAGAACTTACAAAGCTTCAGGACTCGGAGACAAAATTAGAAAGCAAATTACAAGATCTCGAAAATCAACGTATAGAGATTTCCAAACTTGATGAGACAAATAAAGCTGCTAAAATCGAAGATTTAACAAATAAACTTCATCTTGCTAGAAGTCAAATCAAAGAACATTTAGAAGTCATTGCCGAACTTGAATCAAAATATAAACAACTTGATTCCGAAAAACTAGAACACATCAAGCAAAATACAGACCTTTCAGAACAAGTAGCGGAACTTAAAATGAGTATGGAAACAATATCAAATGAATTCAAGGAAGCGGTTAGCAAATACGAGAATGTAGAAGAAATATCGAAGCAGCAACAAAAATGCATTTTAGATTTAGAAACTGCAATCAATGAAGCCAAGAAAATTCACACTATCAGAGAATTTGAAAACAACGGAGCTGAACTTTCGAATTCAAGTGACAACTTGCTCGTTAAAATTGTTGAATTGGAAGCTCGTGTTACAGTATTAACCAATCAAAACAAGAGCTTGCAAGATGAATTATCGAAATGTGATGCTGATTCATTAAGGGAAATGAAGATCAAGATCAAAGAATTACAAGGCGTTAAAGATGAATTAGAAAATATAAATGAGACTTTCCTTGAAGAATGTAGTAAACTTGAAGAGAAAGTACAATCCCTAAGTAAACAGTTATGGATACTCGGAAATGATGGAAATGCAATGGCACAAGAGGTTGCCGATCTTAATGACCAGATAATGAGTCGTGAAAAAGAAATATCGATTTTGAAACGAAAAACTACAGGTTATAAAGAATTAGAATCAGAAATTTCACGACTGTTGAAAGAAAATGGACATTTGAAAGAAGAAATTAAAGATCTTTCTGCAAAGGCAGCCAAAGAAATTAATACTTCCTTAGTACGTACTTTGTCAGAAGAATCTAACAATGCCGATAAGGAAGAAGTTTCGAAACTATTGCAGCATGAAAATACGATTGCTCAACAAAATAATCTTATCAAAGGTCTCCAGAAAAATATTTCAGAACTTGAACAACTACTTGATGAATCTTGTAGAAGTGCTGGAAAAGATAATAATGCAAGCAAACAAATTTCGGATAATCTTTCAAAATCATCACCAGGTCCACCACCAAAACGTCCACCTCCACCTCCCCCGGTCGGTCCATTACCACTACCAATGCCAAATACATCAACTTCACGACCAACGACACCTATTCGTAGACCTTCAATGCCAGGTTTTCGTATACCATTTCCTCCACGACCAGAATCCGCAGAAAGTTCATCACAAGTTGCGGAACTCTTGGCAGAAATACAAAAATTAACCAAGAATATGGCGAAGTCGGAAAGTGAAAACTCAAAGAATCAACAACTTATCGAAACACTTGAATTTACTCTTAATGAAAGCGAAACATCTCTACAAATGACTAAAGAAGAATTGGATTCTGTATTAAGTCAAAAGCAGGATTTACTTAGATATATTAGTGATTTGCAATCTTCGTTAGATGAAGTAGAGGCTACAAAATCTGAAGTTGAAACTCAAAAAATAAGCATAGAAAAAGCTTTGAATGAAGAAAGAAAGGCTAAAGAACTTTCTGAAAGGGCGAGAATTGCTCTTGAAAATCGCGTCGAACAACTTATAGCCAAGAAAAATAAATTTATGTGTTTTTAAATATATAATAATCTTTTTTAATTATAACTTTATTCAAAATTATTAATTTTATTTATAATTATTTTTTTATATTAATATTTCCAATGTAAATTTTCTTTCAATAATTATACATTTACTAAATAATAAACAAATTTAACAAGATTTACAATTCATTTAAATAAGTAATCCTATTAATAACTTGATTATAGAATTAAGAAGGAATACAATTTTTGATAAAGCGAATATTGAAAATTTTTTCTTTGTGGAAGTTGACACTAAAGTTTTTATTATTTATAACTATAGGATAATATCACGAGGAAAAAGAAGTTCAAAGTGCAGTCACAGCAGGCGCTCTGTAATAATCAGAATCTTTATCGTATATATTTATGGGGGTAATAAATAATGTCGATCATAATAGATTGATTGGCTACAAGAAACATTGGAGGCACAGGAAAATTATAACGCACATTTTTTTTTATTAAAAATTTATAAAATATTATAATATATAAAAATTCAATGTTTTAAACTATAATAAATACTTTAAAATTGAGGAGCATCATTAAGTTTATCAGATTTAATTTAAATGAAAATTCAAGTTTTTATTGTTTACCGATTTTCATTGTAAAAATGGACTCGTACTAGTAAGGTTAGGTTGTATTGCACAGTGAGTATCCGGTGACTATTGTTTAAACTTGTTTCCAACTTAAAATTTTTTTTTTCTTTTTTTTTTATAAAAATTTATCAATTATTTCCAACTTTGAAATTTTTTTTTTTCTTTTTTTTTTATAAAAATTTACCAATTAATCGACATAACTTTTTTTTTTTTTTTTAATAATAAGAATGTATTTATTCAATCGACGTCGAAAGACAGAACCTAAATTCATTCACGTCTTAAGAGCATGTATAATGATATTACTATTAGCTTTCCTTTTAGCATACATCATTTTTTTGATTAACGAAGTGATTCATAGTGCCCCTGCTATACAGATTTCAGTAGAAGAGGTTGATGAAATGCCATTTCCTGGTATGCATATATGAAAAAATGATTGATATCGTATATCCTTATTTAATAATATTATTTCAGATATGGGATTTTACGGCCAAACTCCATTCGATGTAGATTGTCGATTTCAAAATGGTAAGCATGAAATTTTTTTTTTTTTTAGAGAAATAAAAATAAATTTTAACGTGACCTTATATAGGATTCGATGAAATATATAGCTGTAACGATACTTTGTCACAAACACAAATATTAGAGCAAGGTTATTTTGGATTTTCTTTAAATAAGAATAATTTAAAATATACAAAGAATACAGTAAGAGGTGACCAAATTTTAAGAATAACATTATTTTCTAATACACCTAATGATTTGATATCAATTTACCTTGTTGATTCCGGTAAATTAATAAAAGATGTTTTTCTCTTTAAACTTTGATGGCAAAATGTATTAAGAATAAAATTATGTATTGCATACATAGAAAATGATCCTTTAAAATCTCCGGATAATAAAGTTTACACGAATACTTTTCAATTTCTTGATTTCATGAAAGAATTATTCGCAAACAATATGTATCGTATTGCCAATAATCAGGTAATTGTCTTTTAAATTTTTTTTTTTTTTTAAAAAAAAAAGCCTACAGTTACCTTATTATTTGTTGTATTATAGCTTTCATTTATAGGATTGACGAGGAATCAAAAAAAAATAATTGATCCTGAATTAAGTGGTATCCTTGGATTCAATCCATCTTATAATACCAAACATCGTATTATATCCAAACTTCGTAAGTAAAATAAAATCATTCCGCTTATTCTTATTATATACAATATTAAAATTAATTATACATAACAGAGAGCACACCTCTTCCTACTGAACCGAGTACTGGATATTACAGTGAAATTGAATTAACCGTAACAAGTTACCGTATGCAAGTGGAGACAGAACAAAGGTATGTAATGAAAACTGATATTCACACAAAAGAAATAAATACATTTATTTACATCTCTGCTCCAACACTTTAGAACACAAACTGTAAGTTTTCTTGATTACTTATTATTAATTAATGAACAAAATATTAAAAGTATAGCTTAAAATCTAATCAGCTCGTATTCCACTTTAATAATAAAAAGTTACTCAGTGTGTTTGGTCTTATGGGTGGTGCTTGGGGTTTGGCATCGGCATTGTATGCGGCTTTATTTGGTAATTGTATTTTTTTTTTTAAAAAAAAAAAAAGTGGTTCAGATTTTTATATCATATTATTTCTTTACTTTGCAATAGGCGTCGATTCGATTCATCCTTGGGGTTTTATACAGTCTTTTTATTGTGGATATGGTCATAGAATACATAATAAATTTAAAAAAACAATGCCAGTACTTCCATTAATCAATCCTCCTTCCTTAATGACGGAGTTAAATTCTTCTTCTCCAAGCGTTAAAGAATTACATGATCGCTTAACTTCTCTTGAAATTTTTTTAAAGGAATATGTTGTAGATGTAAAATATTTAGAAAAATCAGAGCAAATGGATCAAAATAAATGAGTGATGACAAATAATCGTCACTTATTCGTAAGAAATATGTATCATAATGAATTTATTATTATTATTTTTGGTTAATTACATTAAATAAATAAAAAAGTGATGTATAATGTACCTCAAACAAGAACATAGTAAATGATTGCAAGGACTAATTATTTCATTAATGTTAAGTTTGCTACCGGTTTCATGATTTGCTATTTTCAATTCCATTACAAAATGTATTCTTTAAAATAAGAGATAAGTTACGTAAGTTAGTTCATCGTACAAGTAAACAAAAATCTAACGCTTGCATACATTAAATATCATCAAACAATAACTCGAACGAGTATATTCCACAAAGCATTAGTTTATTTCTCATTTCCTTTTTTTTTTTAGATATATAGATTTTCCAGATATTTTCCGAGAGAATCTATTAAGCATCGGAATTGTCTGTGTGTACTTATTATTACATTTCACAATTTTTAAAGGTTTGATCACAATTCATTATTTTCTTGCATTAAAAATAACCTGGTGTATCCTGATTTATAGAGTATTATTATTATTACTTTGTTTAAATGATTTTATTAAGAAAATTTATACCCATGCAATTTTTTTTTTTTTTTTTTGAAGATTATCTTCTCTCATCTAATAATTATAACGCTAAGAAAGTTTTAATCTTTCATTCGATAAAAAATCGATCGTTGGAATTACGTAATACATGGTGGTGTTGTGATTTTCGTCTGAAGTTGGAATTCAAACGATCTTCCGGTGTCTGAAATTGAGATTCCAAGTTCAGTTAATTGTAGGATATAATGATAACGTCGAAACCTTTAAAGCTCACTAAGAATTAGATCAACTTTGTGTATTATCAAATAAACGGAGGTATGAGAAAGAAAAAAATTTTTGTCATTGAGCAATCAAATATCAAACCACAAGTTTTTAAAATTATAGTATGTTAACTAGATTAGGTTGGTGTGCGGCGGCTTTGTCGCCGCTAGTTATGGTTATTATACTGCTTTAGTTGTAATATATCCTTTATTATTACACGGTCCATTAGGATTGTGCGGAATTTAATGTACTGATATTTTTTTAATCATACCTGATATTTTTTT